ACTAGGTACCGTGGACCCTTAGGGTAACCGCTCTGTACACGAAGCATCCTGCGACTCCGAGTGCGCAGCTTTTGTCCAGCAGATCCTGCAGTATCGCCAGCGCCTCGCAGCGTCACTACTGATTTTGAAGACATGGGTTATAAACTTGCATCATAGCATGCCTTATTCAATATGTGATATATATATATATATAACATGTTATATTCTATACTAATATATTATATATTAGATTTGCCGACATTCACAAAGAAGGCTGCGGGGCTGAGCTGCAGTCTTCATTTTGGTCGAGAGCCGCTTGGCCATAGAGCCACCCCAGGTTGCTATGGAAGCCCCGCATAAGATTGAATTCGTGATATCTAGTACAGAATCTAGCAACTTTGCTTTCAAGAACGAGCCTGAATGCAGGGCTAGTTACTGTCCATGGATACGTAAGACCAGGCTCTGAAGGCTCAGCAAATCATTCCGTAAACTACAGGGGAGTTTCCGAAAATAGGGGACCCTAATATAGTACCCTAAATAGTAGGACACTTATTATAAGGACCCAAAATACGGTACCCTTATTTCAGGAAACTCTCATATGTTACTATCTGTTGAGGTTGACATACTCTCATTCGCAGATTCGGTCCAAGCTCAAGTGTCGGCTTCACGGGCGCAGCGGCTAGACTCTAGCGCCCCAAAGCCTAAATCCCTAAACCCGAAACTCACTGCTTGAAACTCCCTACAAGGCGTGCTTGAGGGCCGCCAGGAAGCCTTGAAGGTCGCGGGAGAGAGGTTCAGGGATAGATAGATGGATGGGTAGATGGGTAGATAGGCACACGAGCAGATGGGTGGGTAGATGGGCAGATGGCGAAGTGGGCAGAAAGACGGCGAATAGATGGATGTAAACGCGGCGGCACGGCTAGATAGATAGATTCATAGTTAGATAGAAAGAAAGAAAGAAAGATAGATAGATAGATAGATAGATAGTTAGATAGATAATAGATAGATAGATAGATAGATAGATATAGATGGGTAGATAGGTAGATAGGTAGATAGGTAGATAAGCAGATAGATAGAGGGATAGATAGATAGATAGATAGATAGATAGATAGATAGATAGATAGAAGGATAGATAGATAGATAGATAGATAGATAGATAGATAGAGATAGATAGATAGATAGATAGATAGATAGATAGTGAGATAGACAAACAGACAGATACAAGTAGCTAGGAACTTAGGTAGGTAGACAGCGAGCTAGCTAGCGGCGAACGAGCTGTTTGGCTACTGGCTAGCTAGGTAGTAGCTAGGGTGGGGAGGGAGAGAGAGAGAGAGAGAGAGAGAGAGAGAGAGCGAGAGCGAGCCAGCGAGAGGGAGGGAGCGGGAGAGCGAAAGACAGAGGGAGAGAGAGAGACAGGGAGAGAGAGAGAGAGAGCGAGAGGGAGACAGACAGACATAGAGACAGAAACAGAGACAGAGACACAGACAGAGAGAGAGAGAGCGCGCAAGAGCACGCAAAATAGGGACGGAGGGGAGGGAGGGAGGTCGAAAGAAAAGAAAGACAGATAGATAAATAGACAGGTAGATGTGTGTTTGCATATATGTACCTATTTATAGACTATACACACAGTGCGCATGTGTGTATAGATATATCTGTCTCTCTCTCT